GACCCTCCAGTGTGGCCTTCAGAGGGAGTGTGGCCTCTGGCACCTTGACTTTGCCCCGGAACTGAAAGAGACGATGACTGTCGTCTGACGTCCCAGTGGATGGTATGAGTGTGGTGGCCGTGAGACCCTCACCCGTGGCTCGGATGCCAGCCTGTGTCCTGCTGGTTCCATCTCCTCTCGCTTCTTGGGACCAGGGCCACCTTGTCTGGGGGCCCTGCTTCTACCACAACACAGGACACACAGCAGGTGTTCGGAGGGGTTTTGCGGCGGTTGTTGCTGTGGTTTGTTTGTTTGTCTGCATTGTTCGTGAAACTTTGAATTTAACAGCAGCGTCCAGCACAAGACCAGGTGTGCTCCTGAGAGCAGGATGCACATGTCTGAGAGACGGGGGAATGGAGCGGCCGTCAGAACACTCAAACACCACCAGGAAAATGCTGTCCGGCCTCATGAGGAGCCGGACACACTTGGAGTCTTTGGCATCAGGTCCAGGGGGCTGCAGGTTGAGGGCCGGTGGTCACAGTCGCAGCGACCCTGGTGCCCGCCCTCTGATGCTTGGGGGAGGAGAAGCTGATGCTGAGACCCCGCATGCAGCCAGGTCCCCGTGCCGTGGGACACGGGTGCAGAGCCTGCCGGCCGCTTTCACCTGGACGCATCGTGCATCCTTCATGCAGGGCTGTCCCAACACCTAGTCCAGTCCTTCACCCTCTCTCTCGAGGTGCCTGTCTGAGCAGCTTTGCTGTGCATCTCACCTGTGTCCCCGCCGTCCTTCTAATCCCGAGTCCGGCCAAGTCTCTTGCACTGCACCTCCTGAACACGAGCCACCACTTGGTCCCCTGTCCCCCGCTGCAGCCACTGTGGGCCAGCATCGGTGATGAGCCCGGCAGTAGCATGGGCAGCAACCCCTCGCCATCTGAGCCCCCTCCACACAGCCCTCAGCCAAAGGCAGGCAACGCTTCCCAGGTGCAGACAGTGCACACAGCTGCACTACGGCCCAGGGGCACCCGCTTCCGCACATGGCCCCAGCCTGGCGTGGTGCGCTTTGCACATCCTGTCGGAGTAGGGTGAACCCCAACATGTCATTTCACTGCTCTGTGGCCACACTGCAGAGCAGCCTGTAGGCTTGGGACAGGGGCAGCAGACACTCAGGCATGCACTGCTAAGGAAAGGAGCCGGGCTAAGAGGCTCCGTCCTGTGATCCCTCTGCAGGACGCTCTGGAGAAGGTGACCGTGGAGACGGAGAGAAGGTCTGTGTCCCTGGGGTTTGCAGGGAGGGAGGGATGAGCAGGCAGAGCACAGGGGGGCGGTTAAGGTGGGAACATCACTCTGTGTGACAGTGTAGCTGGGGGGCCATGTCACCATACTGTCAACTCCAAGATGGCCCAGTGTGAACAGTGGCCTCCAGGGGATGGGGCAGTGGCCGTGCAGGTCCAGGTGTCCCAGCTCATGGGGTGGCCTTGGCAGGTCAGGCTGTGCTGCGTAGGCCTGCGGTGTCGATCTGAGTATTGCTTGATTTTGCTGTGAACTGAAAACCTCAATCAGAGCAGACTGTATTAAAGTAGGAGCAGATGAAATTAATTTGAATGATAGATTATAACAAACTCAATATATCCAGCATATTACTACATCAATATGTGTCAGCATTATAACTCAGAAAATTTACGATGAAGTATTTTAGGTTCTTTCTTTATACCAAGTCTTTGCAATCAGTGTGTGTTTTACAGCTACGGTGTATTTTTGTTGGGATAAGTTCTCCACATCCTGAGTGCTGGCGGCCTTGCCCGGCCAGTGGGTGCCATGCGGCAGAGCGGGTCTGGCCACCTGTAGCCCTGGGGATGGCTCCGTTCCCTGCCTTGCAGCCCTTCGGCCTCAGGCCCTGCTGTCTGTGACGGCCCACCCCAGCCCCTCAGCCGCTACGCATCATTTCCCGGGGGGCGCCTACACAGACCTCAGCCCTGGCTCGAGTGCCTGCTTGCTGTGAAGGGCCCCAGAGACACTCGGTGCTGAGGCCTTGGATGTGTGACGCTGTCCCCTACATGGTGATGGGCTTTGCAGGTGGGATTAAGGCCTTGGGATGAGGGGACCATCCGGGATTATCCGCCTGCACCCTGTGGGATGCGAGGGGGATCCAGGGGGCGAGCTGTCCCCAAAAGCTGGTGCTGTGACGAGGCAGGGGTGGAGGGCGGTGCTTCCAGGAGGTGGGAAGACGGGGAGCACATGGTCCCTGGTGCGTGCACAGACGCCAGCACGCTGACGTTAGCCCCTAGGCCCGTTGCAGACTTGTGAGCCCCAGAGCGGTCTGGTGACAGTGTGCCTTGATTTCAGCCTGTGTCTGCGGGGACACTGGCACCCTCCCCTGTGAGGTCTGCCCGCAGCTGCACTCCCCCCTGAGCCCAGAGCCCCCCGCGCGCCTGGGGCATTGCCTTGGAGCGAGAGGAGGGGCTGGGCTAGGGAGGGGTTGCGGGTGGGGGCTGCCTGGTGACGCCCCTGGCCCAGCTTTTGTCCCCTGGGCTCCGCACGTGCGCACCATCGTCCTTTCTCTCTCCTGCAGTCTGTTCCCCTGTGGATGCCATGAGTACTAGGTGCCGGGTAACTGAAACAACTGGGTTTTATTCTTCCAGCATTCGGGGAGCCAGGGAAGGGAAGCCAGGGTGTCGTGGGGCTGTGTTCCTCCCTTGTACGTCTCTCTGTGTCTCTGTCCCAGCCTCCCTCCTCCGGGACACCAGTCTAACCCACAGTGACCCCGTCTTAGCCTGACCACATCTGCGAAGACTGTTTTCAGATGAGGTCACATCCACAAGTTCCGGGTGGACGTGAGTCCAGGAGACAGCGCTTGGCCCGGAACGAGTGCCCCCGCCAGACTCGGCCTCTCCCTCCCGTCAGCTCTCGGCCTGCAGTGCCCCTGTTGCAGGACCCCTGCCTGCACACAGACCCCACTTTCCTCCCCTGCGTTCTTTCTTCCTCTCCTCTTCTACCCTGAGGCCGTGGTGTTCTTGTTGCTTTATTTAGCGTCCCCCCAACCCATGCTCCTTGGAAGGCGGGTTCCCGGGCCAGCAGAGCCCTTGTGCACCTGCTCCCATTGTCCGCTGCTGGCCCGCACCTGGCAGTGCCCTCGAGTGAGCAGCTGTGGGCAGCTGGCCGGGGTGAGGGCAGAGAAGAGACTGGCCATGTCCTGGTGAGGCCAGATCTGGGCTGAAGCCGTGGACGGCTCGAGGCGGAGAGGAGGGATGGGCTAAGAGGCCGGGGCAGGATCGCTAGTCAAGTCTGGCGGATGGCCAGGCCGAGCCTGCAGGATACTCATGGCCTCAAGCGCATAAACACAGCCATTTTTCCCGCTGGTGTCTGCAGTGCCCTGGGTGTCTGGATCGATCCTCTGCTAATGGGCCGCTCCGCTAGCTCCCTCCTTGCCTAAGAAAATCAATTCCCGGAGGTTTTGAGAGTAAATGCTCCCTAATTCCACCTCCACGCCGCAGACGCGTCTTTGTTCTGCTGCGTCTAGGTCCTCCCTGCGAGCCCAGGACTGCAGAGGTCAGATCGGTCCCCAGGCCCCGGGGACGCCAGGAGGGGCTGCACCTGCTGGGTCATCCTGGGAGCCCAAGGGCTGGCCCTCGTCCTGGCCTGGAGGGACCCTGTAACCCTGGGGCCTCTGAAGGCTATAACGACGTGTGGCCCCCTAACTACCAAGTGCAAAGATGGTGAACAGGCCCCATCTTCCTGGACTGGCCTTTCAGGTGCAGATTTAAGAAGGGAAAACATCCATGCAGAGACGTGGGATGAGCCAGGGATGAGCGCAGACCCTATGAGCCGATCACCTTCCCCACATAGGAGGCTCCGGGGACACTTTAGACCAGAAGCATCTAAAGATCTCAGCACTGCGAGAGGGGCCAGGCCCAGCCAGCCCCGCTGTGGGCCCAGAGAGGGAGAGGGGCTCCTCAGGCCACAGCACAAGTCAGTGTAGGTTGCACTGAGATGGGGCTTTGAGGTCCGGCCGTGCTGTAGCTGAGGTCTGAGATGAGAACCCGGCCCAAAGGCACACATCTGCAGAGCCTGTGTGTTTCTACCCTGGCCATAAGGGCTTGCTTTCGGAGTCACTGGGTCTCCAGCTTCAGCGCAGAATGAACTCCATGGCCTCCGTATCTGTGGCCCCCACACCACAGATGGTGGCCAAGTCCCTCTCGTTGCTGCAGAGCCCTCACCTGCATCTCTCTGCACGGGGAGGGACTTGCCCCGGGTGGCGAGGTTGGGGACCCGCTCTTCCACCCCCTGTGACCTCATCCCTTGGGCTCGGGTCCTGGGAGGTGCTCAGCCATCCCCTGCCAGCTTATGCCCATGCCCGCTGTCAGCCTGGACTGAGGGGGTCAGCCTGGGTGCTGGGGCTCTGATGAGCTTGGGTCCAGGGGAAAGCAGGTGAGCAAGGGCCTCCATGGTACCGGGTGACAGGTGGGTTTCTGTTCACAGATACAGTGCCCGGCTGGCATCAGGTGTCAGAGTGACAGAGGGACCACACCATGGCACTGCCAGGAGGTGACATGCTGGGCTTCAGAGCCCCCTTGCTCTGGGCCAGGGCACCAGCCTGGGCGAATCCTTTGTCCCCGGTTTTTAGAAGGCTGGCATGGTTCAGTCAGCCGGCACCTAGTACTCATGGCAGCGACAGGGAAACAGACTGCAGGAGGGAGAAAGGACGACGGTGCACACATGCGGAGCCCAGGGGACAAAAGCTGGAGGTGGAATTAGGTAGCATTTACTCTCAAAACCTCTGAGAATTGATTTTCTTAGGCAAGGAGGGAGCTAGCAGAGCGGCCCATTGTCCGCTCGGACAGGAAGCAGTGGTCACTGGCACTGCTGAACACCACAGCATCCGAAAGCATATACAGACGGACATGCCACCTCAAGGGGGACGGAAGGGACAACTCTCAAGGGGTTCAGGGGCTCCCGCTGGGCTGGAATGTGGTGGGCGCTGGGTAGAATGTGGGGCCTTACTGACACCTGGCCCTTTTCCACAGGTCATCAGACTTTGGCACGTCCTACACCAAGCTCACCTTGCAGCCCGGCGTCACTACCATCATCGACAACTTCTACATCTGCCCAACTAACAAGAGAAAGGTATGTGCTGAGCGGAGGTGGCTGATCCTGGGGCTCTGGCTCCCCATGGCCGGGCCTGTAAGGTTTGCTTCTTCCTGCTTTGGGACAGTGACCAGGCTGTGAGACATTTCCCTCCCCGTCCTTCGGTTACCCTTCCCAGTCCCACTCACTCAGAGTTGTAAGGCCCCAGCCCCGCCTTTGCAGGAAGGCTGTCCGGCATTGGGGGCACATTTGTCCTCACTGTCAGGTGCACAGGAAAAGCGGCTGGCATGAATGAGCTCCTCTGGTGGAGCCTGAGGGCAACACAAGCAGCTTCTGAGCATCCTGTGGGTGTGGGGTTTGTGCGGCATCTCATCAGGTCCTGGGCGAGTGTCCTGGCTCTGCTCTCTGGCTGGCTGTACGATCAGGAAACTCCTCTTTCCAGGGCTACCTTCCTACTGGCTTCCACGAGGAGCCCCCCAAATGTGTGACTTCACCCTCACCCACCTGGGAACCCCAGAATGTCAGGGGAGGCAGGAGGCAAAGCCAAACTGCGTACTAGACTCCATTCAGAGAAGTTCAGTGTCACAGGAAGAGACTCAGACAGACCAGTCCCAGCTCACTCGCTTTGTGCCTCAGTTTCTTCATTAAAAAATGGGATGCAACCACCCCTCACAGAGAATCGTGGGACGCATTCACTGCCACACTTCGTGTGGGGCCAGGATTTGAACCCGGGTCTCCAGACCCAGGAGCGCCTTTTGCCATGCTCCAAGCTTCTGGGCTTCCCTGCAGAAAAGTCTGAGGGAGCAGATGGGTCCCCTGTGTCGGTGCAAGCCCGCCCGGGTTGCTGGAGGTCAGAGATCAGCAGGTCTTTAACACCCCCAGGCTCACTCTGACACGTGCCGAGCCGTGCAGGCAGGCACATCTTGTTTTCACTGTGAGCCTCAGTTTCCCCATCTGTAAGGGAGATTCAGGGGACAGAGGGACAGCCAGGGAATGAGATGCTCTCAGGGATAGAAACCCAACTCTGCTCCGTCCATGTGGGCTGGGTCTCCCAGCGCCTTCTCAGCATCCACCCTGGTCCACTTAAGATCCTACTGTGTGCATCTGCAGCTCGTGCCGCAGGGAGACACCTCGGTCCATTCTGCAGAGCACAGACGCAGGCTAAGGCCCTGCTGTGTGCCCATGCCAGGCAGCAGGTGCCCTGGGTGAACCATGCCAGCCTTCTAAAACCTGTGAGGGGCTGAGGGGCTGAGCCCCTGCCCCGGGTTTGTGGGAGGAATTAGGAAAGGACCCAAAGACTGTGTACCCTGCCACAGCGAAGCAGATCCGGGAGGACACACTGCCCCCCATGACGCCGCCGGGCCCAGCGTTACCGAGTAATGGAGAAGTTCTGTGGGAAAACTCAAACACTGTTATGAGTCCACTTAGCAACAATTACAGGCTGAGCAGCACTTGAGAGCTTCTTAGGAGACCACTTTGCAAATGTTCTTACAGAATGAATTCCCTTTTATTTTTGTCTCACCTGCGCCCTCACCAGAGCTCTGCAGCCTGATGCCTGGGGCAGGCACTCTGCGCTTGTCCTGGAGGCGTGACCTAGGACCCTGGGCACCCTGCCATCCCTCCCCAGCTGCCACACGGCCTGTGTAGATCTGGGCTGGAAGCGTGTTTCCGACTCTGCCCTGGAGCCCCAGGGCGTGGGCGGTGTGAGGCTGGGCCCGTGAGGCTGCTGGGCCCGGAGTCGCGTTCAAGTGTCATGTTTTGTGTTAAAAATTCATGTGAATTTTCGTCGTACTCCTCTGTATCGTGTCAGCATCGGATTGAATACTAAAAGAGCACATGCACATACGCATATACACACACGCACATTTCAACAGGAAATCGCTGTGTTGGACCAGGGGTCCAAAGCACACTGAGTCTCAGCATCCCTGGCCACCCTGGCCACCAGCGACTGTCCTGGGTGACTTAGGACAAGGGCTCCATGGTCGATTTCCTCATTCACTGTCCTGCGGTGAGGACAAGCTGTGAACCAGGCCAAAGCCTTGTCTTGGGGACACTCTGGGTATTGCAGAGAGCAAAGGTGCCCTCGCTGCGGAAGCAGAGCCGACATGATGGAGCGGTCCCGTGTCCCTCACCTGTGGCCGCGTGGCCCAGCAGTCCCTAACGACCAGCACAGCCGCACAGCTTTCTGGGGGGATGCAGAGGCCCGGGCAGTTCATGCAGCTTCCCAGAGGCCACACGGCCAGTGCCTCTGCTGCCTCCAAGCAGCTCCGGACCACAGCAGGCAGACTGTCCCCATCCTGCAGGGTCCCTCCAGCGGCAGGAAGTGAGGGAGAAGCGCAGGCCTGGAGTTGCCGATGAGCTGTTGTCATTCTGGTGCCCGGACAGCCCTAGGATGACAGGTCACAGCTCCACCGCCCCAGACTCCCTGCCTGTGCCCAGGTCTGCTTCCCCTGGACCCTGCTCTGCTCGGACAGGAAGCAGTGGTCACTGGCACTGCTGAACACCACAGCTATGCATGGTGTTATGGGCTGAACTGGGCCAAAAGAACTCCGTCTGTGTCCCCACACTTGGTACCAGCGAGCGTGATTTCCTCTAGAAATGGGGTGTTTGCAGCTCTGATCAGGGTGAGATGATGGTATTTCCAGCATGACCCGGTCCCTCTAAGGAAAGAAGAAGCACAGACACCAACAAGAACTGTGTGGGGAGGCAGTGTGGGGACGCAGGGGAGGAGGCAGTGAGACACCTCAGGCAGTGACGGAGCCACAAGCCAGGAGGGCCAAGGGTGGCTGGCGGCCCTGGATGCCAAAATGCCAGCATGGGAGAGCTTCTCTCTGGAGTCTTGGGAAGAACATGTACCGTTCCCACCTTGATCACAGCTTCTGGTCTCCAGCCCAGGGAGGGCAGCTGTCTGCAGCCCTGGTGTGCAGTGTGTGGTCACGGCTGCAAATCTCATTTAATCCTCAGAGTAGCGGGCAGCGCTGCTGTCACTCAACTTGGAGACAGACATCAAGGCTCAGTGGGGGCAGATGGTCGCTGCAGGTGGGGCTGCACGTCCCAGCAGGGAGGGCACGTGAACAAAAAACACCATATCCTGGGGGTCAGCAGCACCCTTGGGCTATGAGAGGAGGCAAGCAGGGGCCCTCTGCTGCCATTTCTAACCTGCATCTAACCTAAGGTGCAGAGGGAGGCAGCGTCCTCAAATCCAGCAGAGCCTGAGCTGAACTCCCATCACTGAGGCTTCTGAGCCAGGGGCTGAGCCAGGCCCTGAGCCCAGGAAGCTGTGGCTCTGATTGGCCAGGCCGGGGTCACATGTTCTCTGGGAGTGGGAGGGCCAGCCCACTCACCTCCATGGAGCACGGGTGGAAGGTTCACAGACCAGGCAGGCAGCAGGTGACCTGAACAGGGAGCAACTTGCGTCCCCACATCCACCAGGGCTTACGGAGAAGCCCATCACCTGGCATTGGCACCACCGACTTCCTTCTAACTCTGCTGTTAAAAATCAGCATCCCTTATTTTAGGATTTGTGTGTGTTGTGTGTGTGTGGTGCGGGGCATTGGACCCAGGGTCTTCACTCTGAGCTACATCCCCAACTCTTTTTTTAACTTTTAACTTTGAGACAAGATCTCCTTAAGTCACTAAGTTGCACAGGCTGGCTAGAGCTTGCAGTCCTCCAGCCTCAGCCTCCCCGGGAGCTGAGATGACAAGGCTGTACCACAAGCGTGGCTGGACACTTTTTAAGCCCCCACCCCGCTTTCTGGTTCTTTCACTTCAGCAGCAGTGTATGTATCTGGGGTGTGAAGGCCAGCCCGCACAGCTGCCTTCTGTTCCCACGCCGCCCCTTATGGCTTCTCTGGCCCTCTGCACTGGGACCAGGATGCTTCTTTGCAGAGAGGGAAGATGGGATAATATACCTGAAGGGCCCAGAACAGAGGAGCACAGAGCAGGCGCTTGGTCCTCTCCGCCGCGGCATGCAGAGCGCTGGCGCAGGGTGTCCCTTCTCTCCAAGCGGGAGGAGCTCCCAGCATCTTCCCTGGCTTGGCCCCTGCGGCCACTAAGGGTGACCACATGTTGGGTACTGGATGAATGGGCTAGAAGGTACCACATCAGCTCACCGTGCCAGAGGACAGGGGAAAGCCAGGCTGGACACCGGAGGCAGGCGGGGAAGATGCCGCAGAGGCTGCTCCTCCGGTGAGCCTCAGTTCCGCATCTGCAGAAGGTCGGGGACCTCCCGTGGGGCCCCAGGGCCCTCAGCGCAGCTGCTTTACTGAAGGCCACCAGGGCTTCAGCGACAACAGACAGAAACCAGTGCGGCTCGAAACGGACAGGGTTTGTAGGGAAGGTGTCAGAAACGACCGAGGAACAATGAGGCGGACTCAGCAGCCACACAAGTGCTGTGGCAAAGAACCCTAGTCACAGGGTCTCCGGCAGATCATGAATTTGCCCACAGAGACAAGGACCTTGGTGGTGGTTCCAGCAGGGCACAGGCCACCATGGCTGTTCTGCAGGAAGAAGTGGGGGGCACCTCATGAAATAAGGAGCTCGCAGTGGCCCTTCCCCACTCCTGTGGGGAATGCAAAGTGCCCACACCTACAAGCCCTCGTCCATCCGTCCCACTGGGGAGGGATGTATGGTCAGGTGGGAAGATGAGGTCTGAAGTCCACTTTACCTTGGTGACATCCGGCCTCCCGCTTATTGACCAGCGCACCCTTGGGCCACTGTACAATCTTTCTGGGCCTCCTGTTCTTCTCTGTGTGCTGTGGGCAGATACCAGACCTGTGGGATGCTTACTCACGGCTTTATTTCCGTGCACCATGGCAGGCAGAGTAAGGTCCCCACCCCCAAGGATGCACACATCCCAGTCCCCAGAATCTGTGGATGTCAAATTCGGTGATAACCAGGACTTTGCAGATAGGTCCAGTTAAAGATCCTGAGCCAGGGATGTAACTTAGACCATCCAGATGGCCCTGGTGTCATTGCAGGGTTCTTAGAACAGGGAGGGGAGGTAGAAGGTCAGAGAGAGGCTGGAGACCCTGCACTGC